CATTGCCTTCCATTCAGAATCTTGACAGATTTCGATAAATCTGCACAAGTTCTTGAAAGATCTGGGGCGAAACTTGAGAAATCTTTAAAGATTTATCAAGATCTGCATTCAAGATTTTTCTCCTGGGTTAAAGGTTATTGCATAGACCCTAGTCAAGGTTATTGCGCAGTCTACTCAAGGCTATCGCGCAATATTTCGTATATAAATACATCAATTTTATTGTTAAGGATATCTTTTTCATTTTGTAAATAAACGCTAGGTGAGAAAGATCTTAGTTCACTCGGGAAACCTAACACAGAGATACTTTCACACGTATTCTATCGTAAAACACGGTTGAAAATATCAATGTGTGTGTGCCCACAAAGTTAGTCAGATTTGCGTTCGTAAATTTTAGTATACAGTATGTTGTACGCGAATGAAAGCAGTTCTAGAGCGTGGGATTGCTTCATCATGAGAAACAGAATATATAATGGTTGAATCTGACAAGTATCATTATCGATTTACGCACGTTTAAAGTTAGTCACTTTTCAACATGACAGTTAAAAGAATTTGTACGATTTTCCATTTCAACTTCTTGATCGGCGATTTTCTTTAAACTTTAACAAAAATCTTCCCTCTAGAAAGAATTCGCTTGTGGCGGAGTTATTCACATTATTTTTCAAGTCTCAAATAATTCAAATATGTTTCTATCGACTAAGTGATTTTATTCAGTTGAATAATATTCGTTCAGACATATGAATTCTAAAGGTTTTCTCTATTCACTGTACAAATAACGGAAATTTTTGTTATTCTAAGTAATGGATTGAAATCATAAAACAAGTCCTTGAAATGAAAACCGCTTATTAATATACTTACTCCTGTTTCATAAAATATAACTATCTCCACGCTGTTTTGGATGTGGTAAAATCGGACATTTCATCCGCACTTGTATTCAACATCCTCCAAAAAGAGCCTGTTACCGCACAAATCCTTCGTTGATATACATCGGTGTGTTTGTCAATGGGACAAGAATCCGCACATTACTACGGATGCATTTCTTCTCTCTGCGTATTCAAATCGTTCTGAATTTATTATGAATTTACCGACTGATGAACAAACGGCTCTTCGCTCATTACAGTATCTTGATGATATTATCATACGTCTTGCAGATAAAAATGTAAGTATAGTTGTAATGCAATCGTCCGTTTATGAATCAAAAGTCCTGCAACAACTTAATGATAGAGAATATTATGAATCACTGTCTTATAATCCAACTAATCAGACTAACTCAAACGTAAAAAGAATATTTAGTATTGCCCGATTCATCTAGATTATTAGATTTTTACTCGATTGCAACTACTGGGTAACGACAGTGAAAATCTAGTAATCGGGCGATTGCTAGATTTCTTCGAGTTTCAACTATCGATTTATCGCCCGATAATCGATCGATTTAACTATTGCTAGTTACACTTGCAGACCCATCTAGTTAAAAGTCCCTTTTCCAACTAGTAATCTAGATGGCAACTAGTTGTGTATCGCCCGATTACAGACGAAATGTATCTAGATTTTTCCCATAGGTGATGTTTGCTTGGGTAAACAACGTATTATTTTTGAAGTTACTCAACTTTTCTACGTTGAAATTTATTGAACCGAAAAAATTATCTTGTGGTACATTTTATATTTTACCGAAAATTCATAAAAGATATTGTCCTGGACGACTAATTATATCCGGGATATATCATCTTACATCAAATGTGTCTGATTACTTGGAAAGACTCTTAACATCGTATGTACCACTATTACAAGAAATTGCTATGAATGATTATCAAGTATAGAATTATATTGTATTAAAAGATACGAATCATTTACTGGAAGAAATCGAACTGGTCAATAAAGAGATTTTAAATCATAATCCGAATGGTCAACATCTTTATATGGCTACAAGTGATATCACGTCTCTGTATACGAATATTCCTCAAGATGATGGTATTCAGGAATTATCAAACTTTATTACAAAGTTCGGTTTCTTACGTGATTTTCTTTTATCTACATCGGCATTGTCATTACTATTAGATCTGATATTGAAAAATAATTTCTTTATCTTCAAAGGTCGCTATTTCAAACAGATTAAAGGTATAGCAATTGGAACTGTCTGTGCTCCAGCCTATGCAAATATCTATGTCTTCTGTAAGGAAAGGATGGGGGCGATTATTTGATGGAATCGGCCCCTGCCTGAATTCCATCGACACATACATAGTTGGATGCAGTAGGAACAGGAGAACATTTCTAGACCGTCGGCAGACCTTAGAATTGCTCTCAGAAAAAATTGGATCGAATTAACTGTAATCAAAGTTCTGCTCCTTCTGATATCTATTATCGATCATATTTGGAGTGTGTCTCTCTGGGCTTCATACCTTACAAGAACAATTATATGTCATTCGAAAGCTCCGCTTCTGCGCTATATTTCTGTATATCACCTATACGGAAATAGTCGTTCTGAGGCCAAGAATGTTTAGAAATACTTCCGGCAATTAAAAATGATCTTCTACGTGCAAAAAGTCTAAGATAATCTATGATATGCTTTCTCATCTAGCCACTACAATAAATATACGATTCGATGGAGAATTTCTCGCACTACAATTTCATATATAGAAAATAGTGAAAAAGGTGTCCTAGGGCAGCTTGACATTAGAAATATTTCTGCCAAGCTGTGACAAGTTGGTGACTTATTCAACGGAGAGGATCCTATGATCAACGTTTCAAAATTTACACTTCTCTATAGTATATTCGGCGATAGCCCTTGAATTTCTCTACAAGCTGAGCCAGTCAGAATGTCTTAATCGGTTGGACCAGTTATCAAAGACATTCAAAAGAAGCGTTGGAGTACGAAAAACATGTGCAGCAAACTACTTTAGTCGTTTTCCTGTCCTAATAAAAAATTATGCATTTTTTAGAAATAAACAGCTTTTCAGAGCACAGACTACGCCTGAAAAAACGTATTTTGTCTAAAGATTGAACCATTAAAGATTTGTGTTTTAAATTCAAGGGCTGCTTGAATTGTTAAAGCTCCTGAAGTTCGAAAATCGAATTTTTTGACTATTTCTTACCGTTCTGTCATTCATCGTTTCCCTCGGAAGTAGCACAATATATTTGTTTGTGAGGAAAGAAAAAATTTTTCTTCTATATACAATAATCAGTTTATTGTATTTTTTTATTTACTTCTGTATTCTAGCAATTTATTTTGGTCTTTCTTAAATGGGGGCCGTACCATCAAAATTTAATTTTTGTATAAAATGAGCGTTTGGTTTTTTTTCGCAGTAAACAGCCACAGAAATATGATCTCGTTACTGTTCTGACAGCCAGTTACTTTTATGTTTTTATCTCACAGTAAAACCGATCATGATGCCGATGAAGCATTAAAAAATTCCATCTTATATGATTTATGTACTCCGATTCCACGTATTTATAATTCTGTTGATGCCATACTTGATAATGATAATATACAAACACATCAACAGCGTATACTTGTTGGTAGTTATAATGATCGTACCTCGTTTTCACGTCAATATTCGAAGAACTTTCAAGCTTTCGAATTTGATTATAATGTGATTATAGATAGTCTTAATGAAACTGAATGTAAAACAGTAATTGTACCGAGACTGGATAAAATTGATTATGTTTGGCTTAAACATTATCATAGAAAGAGGAGTGAAGGGGTAACGGAAGGTAAGATATAGTCATAATCAGTTGTATTTTTCAGGGTAGGGGAGGGGGGCACAGTGTGCATCCAGACGAATATTTGACCATTAACTGAAAATGCACTTTTCTAGATTCATATGGAGTGTATAATATGTGGGCTATTTAATGGCATAGAATAGTTCGAATGTTAACGACAATAGCAAAAGCAATTTCTAGCGAATTTTCTAAATGGTACTTCCATTTAGGTCCGCCACCCATGACATGACATAATAGCCGCAAAGCCCAAGAAGCCCAATTTTTAAGATCCTTTTCTAAAAACAGCCAACTTTCAGGCCTCACAGCACAAAAACTATACGGTAGAATCTTTTTGTTTTTCCCTTATTTGTAGTACTCATCCAGCTCTACAAAATGGCATCAAAGATATTTTTGGTAACGAACAATATTCCCTATAATTATCAAGTTAATAGATAAGTTAAACATAGTATTATAGCCTCTGCTTGCTCAATAGAAACCAAAAGCACAGTAAACTCCCGCTAGACTACTGAAAGCAGTAATCGATATTTTTGCCTTTTGTGATCGCGAAAAGAGAATGAAAACGAAGCGGACCAAAAGTATCTTTGGTGCCATTTTGTAGAGTTGGACGAGTACTACAAATAAGAGAAAAACAAAAAGATTCTACCGTATAGTTTTTGTGCTATGGGACCCGAAAGTTGACTGTTTTTAGAAAAGGTTCTTCAAAGATGGGCTTCGTACTTAAAGAGAAAGATAGATGTCGACCTTAATCTTAAAAAAGCAGAGTAAGACTTGCATTGGATATGTACGACCAAGAAATGAGGGCTTAACGAGGTTTGATTTATAGAAAAAGGAGGCTAAGCAAATAACATTATATGATATTCTGTTTCTGTTAATAAGAATAGAAATGATACTCGTTCACCTGATAATGGTATTTGTTTTGTTTTCAGACTATGAGTATATTGAAGTGGACGGTGAAAAATATTTAAATGGATATGCTATAAAAGAAAAGTATGATTTACAGTTTTGGAATAACTGCAAGTGCATTAATATAAAGCGTTCGGTTCAGCAAACATCAATTGCATTTAAGATTGTTCCATTGATTCTGGAACATAATGACAATTCAAAGACACTGAAAGCTAAACTTGATAAGTTCCAAATATTATCCTATAAGCTAGATTCGTGGATAATCGAAGAAGGGCGTGAATGGTGTATGAAGCAATGGACTGAGATAACAATCGATTTTATTGTTGGTATTGATATTTGTTTTCGTTATCGAAAATATTCGCTGTATAAAACATTGTTTTCACATGAATATCAACGAAAACTGCAAGACGTAAAGAACCTATTGGAATGGGTGAAAAAAGAAGACTTTAAAAGTATGTTGAACAAGTATAAAACATATATCAATGTTTATGAATATCTAACGAACATACTGAAGACAAATCCGTTTTTCAATGAGAATGGTCAAACAGATATCCTTAAGTACTATACACGAGCGTTAATAACTCAGTTAGACATATATCAGACACATGTGGTATTCAAATCATCAATGGACCATACAAAAGCAGGTAATGAAAGAATTTTCGATCTAACACCAGTCGTCCACCTAAAAAATTATTGGCCGTCGATGTGTACAGATGTACTACGTGCCATTTCAGGGCGTTACGGTCCACATGTTCAAATGGCCATCGAACAAATCGGTTGTGATCTCGTACCAAAATGGTCAAGACAAGGTCACTTCGAAGTTGATGGTCGACTTGATTTTCGCTATGCATTTTCTCGAGTTGAAGGTTGTCTAGCAAACGTGCGAAACGAACTAGAAATCTCATTTATGGGATTCGTCAAGTGCTTGTTTTATCATTACATAGCTGATTCAATGATGATTGATTCTTATACATTTAAAACATTATTAAATTGGTATATTGAAAAAAGTCCCATTGAAAGTTGGAAACAAACAGCTAATTTTTTACACGATTGTTACCGACTAGTTAATGAACATTACGAACAGTTTCTTTTATTTGCGATAACATCGTTTGAACAAAAGAAGTGTGATCATTATTGGCTACGAAACCAGAATATAAACTTATTGGAAGTGATTTCTAGTGCTACACAGAGCAACTGTCTAAATACATTACAAAAAATGAAAGCTGACAAATGGCTTTATATCTGCAACTGTAATCAAGTTATTTTTGCTAACTGGATCCAGTACAGTAAAAACGCATGTTATTTAAATCATTTAAATTTATTTGACATATTTATTTATATATTTGGACACCATGAATATTTAGAACGGTATGATTACCAAGCAGAATATCTTAATGTTACATGCAGTCTGTTTGCCCATTTATCAGCTGTTGGATGTGAATATATACCGTGGTCTAAATGGATGGACTTTTTCTTTTCTGTTTCTTCTCAATCATCGAATGACTATAAAAATTATTATTTAACGGGTCAGTTTAAACATGATTACTTTAAGTTTAATTCATTAGCTTTAACGCTTATACCGAATACAGCAATTTCAGATTTAAAAAAGATAATTTGTTACTTAATAACAGAATGGTTAAGTCAGACAAATGCATTTATCTATCATTTTCTTTTAAATTCACGCATTAAAAGAATGATGAAAACAGAAACAACGGCAAGCAGATATAATTTAGACAAGTTACTCGCAGAACAAGAATATTCTTAAGTAGTTAGATACATATTAATGAGAATAAAGAGGAAAAAATATAAAGGTTTCATAATGAAACCTGATTTTTTTCTTTTTGTATAACACTATATTATTAAAAACTGATATATTCTTTTTTATACGAATCTTTTAAAATGCAAAGTGAAAGACATTCTGCTGCATATCTTATGATATACATCTTACTCCCGTTCTCCCGTCCTACTTCCGGATTGGCACATCTATCGAAATTATTTAAGGTGCTTGTTATCTATACGATATGCGTCCATCTTATTTGTATGATACACGGAGAAGTCTATCACCTCTTTTGTTTTATTTTCATTACTATATATAACGATTTCCTGAATCTATCTGATTCAAACTTTTGAAATTTTCGTGTCGCTAGTGCTGTTATTACAACTTTTCTAAGCTGTAGAGGTTGTTTAGATGACTGGCATTCGTTTTTAGATTTGCAATTTGTTACTGTGGTTAATAATGCTTTAAATGTTTCAGAAAACATGCCTTTTTAATATTTTGTCTCGCTTATATTATCTGTTTATAATAAGTAATTTGAAATATTTATAAAATCTGAAGACAGATAAGAGAAAACATGAAACAAACATATTTATTATTTGAAATAATAAATAGTAACACAGAAGTATGTATTTCATACTTCTCCAACATAGAAGTGTTTACTGTTACTTTGAATATTTGATCTTTCAATCTGCTCACGAGATGTTATAGTATATCCTCGTATTTTTGTAAAATAAGTTCATAAACATCAGCAGATAATGAAATTTGACGCCTGTGGCGAATGTACCATCTTTTAGCTTGATTGCCAACTAAAAGAGGAATGCCTTCAAGTCGTAGGAAACGATAAGTTTCACAAAAAATAAATTTAAACAGTTTCAGCTAAATTGTTTCCTACGACTTGAAGCCATTCCTCTTTTAGTTGGCAATGAAGCTAATAGGTGGTCAAATCATTTATATTTTGAGTACCGTTAAATGGTTCAAAAAATTTTGCATAATAAATTTATCGAAATTGTAGTCTTGTTGACTTTACTGTTATTGTTTTTGTTATCATTTGATTCATTTGATGTTGATAATGATGACGATCCGTCTTCTTCATCTTCCCCATCTATTTGATCTATTTGTCTTGTATTATCATTCTCGTTTGCAATTGTGGGTTCTTGTAATTCTTGTTGTTGTGATTGGTCTTGATTTGCTACTATTGCTGCTGGTTTTTCAGTCTGTGGTTGTAATTGTGTTGAATTTTTTGGATGATTATTATTGTCAGCCTTTGCTGTTGCTTCTCCTGTGTTTTGTTGTTATTAAATTCATAGAAGTAGCATCAGTCATTGTTGTTGGTGATTGTTTATTTGATTCTCGTCATATTGCTTTTAGTCAATTTGGATTATAATCTGCCAATTTTACTTGTTTTTCTTGCGATTTATGAGTATGCCTACTTTGTTTTACTTGATTATTTTATTCGATGTAGAAGCTTGAGTTAAATTATGATGATTGTTGGTGTTTATTTCTTTTATGCATAAATTATCAGTTATTGTTATATAGGTATAAATTTAATGTTAATTCATGCAAAAATTAATGAAAACACAAACAAAAGAACTATAGAGATAATAACAGGAGCTGTTTTTAATTCCATTATTTAACTTTTTATTAAAATTCGACGTTTCGAAAATACAGTTTTCATTCTCAAGAAAACAATAGATGAACAGACTATGTAACAAGAGACTCATTGTTTTTATCCATGTTAACTGTTGAATAGTTATATACTCGTCAATGTTTTAATTCTTTGCTACATATATATCTAGGCATGTAGGCATGTCCTTTGGTTCTCTAATTCTTTCACTCTCTACAATTTCATACACAAACACATGTATATATTCTCAAAACTTATATTTTGGACTCTCTTGTTACATTATAGTCTGTTCATCTATTGTTTTTCTCGAGAATGAAAATTGTATTATCAAAACGTCGAATTTTAATAAAAATTTAAATAATGGAATTAAAAACAGCTCCTGTTATTATCTCTATAGTTTTAAAATGTTTACCCGTTAATAAACGTAGCAAACAAAAGAAAAAAAGACGGGTCACGGCGCCAAAATGTTAGCTTACACTTTCTGAAACCTATCTAAATGCTACTCCTATCTGTTATGAGGGGAGTAAGGAACACTGAAACTATGAATAAATGTGATTTACCTTGAGTTGGATACATAAACGTATATAAGAGATAACGGATGAATACAAATCCGATAATTTTCAAATGAATGATAATTGATGTCATCCGAATTAGACGCGTATATATGAATATATTTTAAATGAAATACCAACTGATGAAACAAGAAAACAATGGTTTGAAAAATCATAAACAAAAAACAAATCAAAAAGGTTTAGCCTCGATTCGTCCCTAATTGATTTCTCAATTCGTCCCTAGTAAATTTTTATTCTCAATTCGTCCCTTAAAATTTTTTTCTTGATTCGTCCATTCTCGATTCGTCCCTCAAATGCACGCATAGGCTAAATGTTTAGAGCCATTTAGGATGCTTAAAAAAAGAAGCTCACTATCCTATATAAACTTACGGATATTCAGTAGAGGAGTACACAAAAATTCTCCGAAACATAAAAAGGCAGATCATTGATTTCTTGGTACCATTGGTTTAGCATTAATACCAGCCGACATTGTTGAAAGTACTTGGACGGATATTATGGATTTATACACTCCAGATGATGTTAATGCTACTGAATTCAATGATTATTTAGTTCAAACCTATGTAGATATTAGTTTATATGGGATTAATATATGGAATGTGCATGATGCAATAATTAATGATTTACCAAGGACAAACAATCATGTTGAGGGGTACAATAGTCGTCTGAAAAGTAATTTTCCAAAACACTCACATATTTATCATTTTATTGAATTGTTACGTGATGAACATTTATATCAACATCATAGAGCTGAAGAATCAGATATGCAAATAAGGAAACGAAAAAAATTATACAATAATATTGATAGTAAGTTAAAAGAATTACATGAAGAACACATAAAAGGAACAATAACAAATGTTTAACTGGCTATTAAATGTGGTAGAGCTGTTAAAACAACCCCAATTAAAACATGATATCTTCACGAATAATTGGTTTGTCTTGTGGGCATAATGGTATTGTAGCTGTTTATATATTGTTAATTATTAGTGTTTGTCTTTTTACAAAGTTTATTAAATAAATTTAAAAGCCGAATAATTTAGCCTATGCGTGCATTTGAGGGACGAATCGAGAAGGGACGACGATATAAAAACACATTCATCATGGAACACATACATAGTTCTGTATGCAGGATATATTCATATATGTAAAAACAAAGCTTTTTCTTCGCCAGATTTTTATTTTTGCTGCTCTTTCTGTACATCGACCATGAATTAGACTACGAATTGAATAAAAAATTCATTTTTCGATCAAAACTGATAGAAAAAGCCTACAATAGGTTAAAAACTATTGGCAATCCAGTGGACATATTTCTGGGACTTCAAGATGATTTCCAGAAGATTTCTAGAAATGAAACTTGACCAAAACCTAGTTAATTTTTTGGAATTTTCATTTTAATACGCAAAATCGACTGCGGTGCAGCGCCATCACTTATAAGCGTCCGAATGGCCGGTTTGAGCATCAGTGGAGGTAGTACTCGCAACAAAAATCGTAGTTTCTTATTCATTCAAGTTCAAAAGTATTTCAACGTTTTCCAAGTTTTCAATAGTTTTTCACGGAATTCAAGATGCCAAAAGTTAAAAAACAAACGAGTCCCACATGAGGTTTGGCTGACAGACGATCAAGAGACAGTATTTCAAAGAGAGAATCAGAAAAACTGTCGACTGAAGAGGAAGAAATAATCATTAAGCCAGATGATGAGTTTAATCGTATCAGTTTCACAAACGAATCTACAATAAATGATATTACTGATCTATTTATTGGGCATGTGTTCAATAAGCTTTTCTAGAGATCTTCTGGAAACCATCTAGAAGTCCCAGAAATATGTCCACTGAATTGTTGATAGTTTTTAACCTATTCTAGGCTTTTTCTATCAGTTTTGATCGAAAAATGAATTTTTTATTCAAAACTCACCTGAGCGATTTTGGATCTCTCCTATTGTGGGTGCCGTATCTCAACACAGGAAAGGAATTTTTAGAAAAGCGAAACATATTTTTATTGCTCGTCAAACGGCGATTCGAATGGCGTATGAATGAAGCGTCTAGGTCATTCACAAAAAAATTAAATAGATTTACCAAATTAGGTAGTGTCAATGGAGTCGTCCTGTCGCGTAGATTTCCAGATCGAATACACCACATGTTATCAGACTCTAGATAACATTTCTAGATCCAATTTTATATGAGGAATCCAAAAATGATATCAGGTAGCATGAAAAATGGAATGGTAAAAAATGAAACATAATTTTTCGATAAGCAGGTTTTTTGCGGATTTTTAGACCCTTCCAGTATTTTGTGTTTTTCTATGTCAAAACTTTGTCTAAACTAAAAACGAAGGACATATTCGTGATCAGCGTCAAATAGCGATTGTAGGGACGTATGTTTAAGCTAAAAACAAGAACTGCTGAAATTTTGAATTTCCCGCGCCTTACGTCTAATAGCATTTCTCTCCCTATGAATTACAAACCGAAGGTAGAAAAAACGAAGTAGGTTGTTTAGTCTTCATCATGCAGTCTCTAGATATATAATGTTTTTCTTTTCCTTTGACTTGAGTCAGGACACACAAACCGACTGTCTGTCTGTTTGCACAAAACATGCGACAATGGCTGTGCGTCATTACATGGACTAACCAAACGCAACGTCGAAAGTACAAGAAACACAAAGTGTTATTATGGAATAATGCGAGAAAAAAATATTCAAAGAGATTGTCTGAATTCTCTACTAATTCTCAGAGGCCAAAATCTTCAAGGAATATTTCTGCACTGTGTTTAATCGTGATCTTTGTAGAATCTAGATACATACTGTTTTTTCTTTTCCCTTAGCTTGAGTCATGACACACAGACAGACAGACAAAATATTTGTTTCCGTGACTTTAGTCAGGGTCTTACAAAATAGTTGTCTGCGTGTGCACAATAGACGAAAAAATGGCTGTACATTATTTCATAGACAGCGAATCATAACGGAAAGAAGTAGAAGTTGCAGAGAATGTTATTTAAAATCACGAGATAGAGAATATTGAAAGTGATACTTTCAATTTTTTCTGTTAATGGGCAGAATATAAAAAGTTCAAGAAAGCTCCTGTATAGTCGTTAATTCTGATTAATGAATTGCTTTTCACTACATTAATCTTTTGTTTAATTCAATTGAACCTTATTTGCTGAGAATGGATCTAGTAGCATTTTTTTTGTGCATAAATTCCGTTCTTCTATATTACCATTGTACTTTGTTACTGTACCTTGTTTCAACATATTCTCGAAATTCTTTTTCGCGTTTTGATCCATCTTTTTTTGTAGTAATTGCTGACATAATCATACAAACAAATATTTTCCAAATCTTCTGATCGATGCTGATAGTTAACGTGCAGATTAACTAGTAAACAATTTCTAATATTATTTCTTCTCCTTTTCGGCCTGAGAACAGCTCGTCTTGCTCATTCTGCATGTCTTCCTCCTCATTTGTCTCATCTTCTACTATCGCAGCTAAAAAAGAACATTTAATTTTTCAACGCACAATTGCGTAGTGACTGCATACACTGACTTTCTGTTATGTTGTTGAAATTATCATGTGCTTCTTCAAGTCCCTGTTGAAAATAGCGTTCAATTCCAATGAGAAATATATTTTCGAATTTGTGTGAGGTATACTGGTCGGATCATCCCATCAGATAAGAGGCCACCTGTAGTCATGATAGTGCTTATCTATCTATCCAATGGAGAAGAGAGAGAAAGGAATAAGAGGAAGTCCTTTTCACCGGATAATATTGAATATGTCCTTTGTAAAAACGTATCGTAATGTTTATTACTAAATGTCATTGTTGGCCAAGGGATATATCCACCACCAGCACGAAGTAATGATATTGTTTTTGTAGCACGAACTAGATAACGAGAACAATGTACACAACATTTATCATCGCATTTAATAAACGACGTATAATACGTGGAACGAACACAATGATGAAGATAAAGTTGTAAACAAAATTGGACATTTGGATTTTGTTCTATTTGTATTTGTGATTTACTCATTAATAATTTCTTTAGTTTTTCATGGCCATCAAATACATTTCCATTAACAGAAAACACTGGACGACAGTCAATTTTATAATTACAAAAACTTTTGTTATTCCAGTATTTACACAATTCAATTAATGTTAGATCAAGTTGTTGTGATGTTTTTTTAAACGGCGGATCCAAATCAATAATAACATCTTGTAATAAATCAGTTAATCTTGAGAACATACGTTCAATTGGATTAAACCGACTGTGTCCTGGAGCGTAGCTAACCCAGATTAATGCATTCAGTTTTTTTCTTCGCAAAAATCTTCCTAAGTTATAAATGTTCGCCATACAATCAGTACTCCAATCTGGACCGTTATCAGATATGATAGTAATAGCACTTTTTTGTTGTTATCTGTTGTAAATTATTTATACGAATTCTAGTGGTTGCTTTTTGTTGTATGATCAGTCTCAGAACCAAATGGACGAATAAATAATCGTCATGTTCTGCTCCATATAACATGTTCAAGATTTCTTTTATTGGTCGTCTAAATGAACAGAGAATAAAACAATTCTTAGTCACTAAGTTTTACTTTGATAAAAGTGAGTAAAACAGTTGACTGACCATAATAGTATGTTGCTGTATATCTGGAAATAGTCGACTATCACAAGATGTTGATCTTTTCTTAATCTTTAATCCATATAACGGATGACTATCAAGACTGCTTGAACTTTTCCGTTTATTTAATAATACCACATATGCAGATGAATTGATTCTAATACCATGTGTTGGGAAATCATGATCAAGTAAATTTTATTGATTTTCAACTAGATGGAATTTTCTACTACGTACATAACGACTGACGGCTGGTGCACCTAAAAAGACATGGACATTTGATGAATATATAAAATTTATTCGTTTCTTGTTTTATTTCTGTAATCGGAAAAATAGAAAATTTCTCTTACAGGAAGTTTTAATTAGTGTCATAGTAGGATAAAACGTAAAAGAAAAGTATATGTCTGCCGCGACACAATGGATTTGTTTCAGTGACATCTTGATACATTATCGGCTTCTTCTGATGTATCTATGTGTGTATCATTCTTTTTTAAATGTGCTCACCTAATGGTATTTTTGCTTTATTATCACACGAGAATGCTAATATTTCGTCGCTGTATAAACTAGATAATTCTTCGACGTAATTGACTTGCGCACATGTAAAATGAAAATGACTGTGTTCTTTTATTGATTGTGAATTACGTTTTTATGGAATTTTTGCTAATATTCAAAATTTTTTTAATTTTTTTTCAAAAAATTTACTACTTCGAATATTCTGTTTTGGTGGTAAGAAAAACGACGAAATTTGACATTTTATTGATCTTCGAATATTTCTTCATTAATCGTTTTTTAATATGTTTGTTACAATTAACTATTGATAAACCATTGAAACGTATCGCATCATCAGGACGTCTGTGTTATGCAGAACCACTGTGCGTATTTAATAAATTTTTTAATTCGGTTATTATTTCTGGACATAATTCATGATAAGATTTTCTTCCGACTTTATTACGTTGAAAGCGTGATAAAGGTATTTGTCTCATTCTTTCTTCGAACTTTTCTTTTGTTTCGAACATTAACCATTTGTAGCTTGGCATGATAGAAACTATTTGCAGATACTTGAAAACTTTATGAAACGTATTATAGATGAATTGAGTTTACAGTGAGAAATACTGTAATAAAATAACATCGATTCTATAGAATGGATGTCGTATTTCCTGTAGTGTAGTATAGCAAATATGACCGATGATTTTCTTTAACAGAACGTGTAAACTCCGTCAATTATATTATATGTATATACAAGTTAAGCCAGTTAAGGTAACAAAATGCAACAAGAAGTATATACAGAGATGTATTATTAATTAATTTTCATTGCATAGGAATAGAATATGTTCATCAAAACAATAGAAGAAATACGCTTATATAGGTTTTAAAACGGAGCTTTTTGCAGAAAGAAAAAGAATCATTATTATAAATCTTCATTTCACAAAAATCATACGCAACTGTATTTTCTCGTTATCTACCTAAGTTTAATAATGTCTGAGGCTAAAAAAGTACGCGAAAAAATTGTCGAAGGTGGTGATGAATCTGATTTTGAACAAGAAAATAATAAGAAAATAACAATATTATCAATCATCAATCAAAAACTTGATTTATTATTAACAAAATTTGATAAAATAGAAACTTCAGTTAATACGCTTAAGAAAACTGTTGATACATTAATAATTAGACAAACAACAATTGATATAACCGTATGTGAATTACAGAAGGACAATGTTGATAAAGCAGCCACTATTATTAACACAGAAAACTGTTGTACAAAAATCTTGGAATTAATTGAAGAAAGAGCGTTATCCTTTGAAAATGCAATTCAACATGCATCTGAACAAATCAAAGAACAAGCTGTAAGTAAACAGAAGTTTTTCCAGAAAAAGGTCAAGGTCAACATGCATATCAAAATGTGATGGGTTTTTCGCAAACATTCTATCTGACTATCATGGCCCGAAGAGAATTTCGGAAAGTCGTCATAGTCGAAAAAATCCTTCAAAGTTGATTCAGTTTTAAAATTGGTATAACAATATATATAGTTTTCCAATGCTCAGTAGTGATATTCACAGCCCTGTATCTCAATAAATAAACTGTACTATTTTCTAAAAAGTAGTCTAGGTTACAGTACAATTTGTGTACTTCGGATCGGAGTAAAGCCCGAGGTCGGATACATTTTAATCGTGAAGTTGACAGAATATTGAGTAATTCTATAGGGAGTGATATCCTTCATAGATAAACATTTTATGAAACAATTTCTTTTCTCACCCTCTTGCCCTCTATATCTATCTATATAAGTGTACAGAAGATGGAAAACATAAAAAGAAAGGAAAAAAGAAAATCAAACAAAACTAAAAAAGCGGCACGATTTAAAATTAGTCTGTCTGGAAGAAAACCATCAAATTCTAAAATACTGCCTTTTTATTCAGTCTGTTTACTTTTGTCATATAAATTCTGTTTAGGTTCGTATTGTTCCTTCTGGTACAGATACGACGCAGAGTACAACCCTAGATAATCCTACATTTGCAATGACGTCAGCACCACTAACACCAACTGAAATCATAACATCTGCAAATGAATTATTATACTCACATTACGATTTCGACTCATCTGCTAGTTTTACTTCCAAACGGCCATGTGATATGAGTGTAGAAAATGATGAAGTATTCACATCAACTTCAGATAGTGCGGTATATTAAATGTGTTTCTTTCTCAAGTATCTTTAGTTTAGAAAACTTTTATATTTTTTAGAATCGGTTATTGAAAAGACAAAAAACTGATAGTCAAATTTCAACCAATATGTGTACCACTTTATATGCATCAGTTACAACGTCAAATGTAAATATACACTATAAAGACTTATATACCAAGGATTTGTATGTTTTACACGAAACGTTCCTGTTTTAGGAATCCAAAGTGTTTCTTAATGATCCCACTACAAAAAACGTTTCAGGTTACAAAAGAAAAGCATGAAAGACACCAACTAGTAACAAATCAGCAATTACTAAACAAAGAAACCGGCTTAAGCCATCTTTTAGCCCATCTTTTTTCCGCATTATTTATCGAAGAAGAATTAAAAGTTTCATCCGTTGACGCTTCTGTCCGTGGTACAAAAGCATTTGATCCAGTAAGAGTAGCTGCGATTGATAAATATTTATTTAATTTATATGGAGTAAGATATACTAAATGTCGTACAAGTGATCCATATAAAGAATTACTAAATAAAAAATGCGCCCGAATAAGAACAAAATATAATAAAAATATTGCTAATTATTAGATCTGAGGCAATATATATGTAGATATATTGTAGATATATATATCCACATATAAGAACATTTTTATAGTTTTTGCTGTTTCTGCATCTAATCGGAAAGTCGTAAAGAGAATTCAGTAAATTTTTGTATCAGAATAACTTTGATTTATTTGTATACATCTATGAAAAGAAATCGATAATATATCGAAAGGTCATTAAAATAAATCCGTTGTGCCGCGGCAGAGCGGCATAACGTCTGAGGGAACGGCAAGAATTTTGAAATGCTCCCTAAGGAAAGAAACTAATTTCCTTTCGGCTGACTTTTTCCTCTTTCGATTAATTAAGGAAAAGACAGAAAAGAGATATCTTTGGTTGCTTTCACATTAATGAAGTCAAATATAAAGGGCATATAATGACGGTAAATGGAAAAGCTGTTACATCTTCGCAGTGACACAACAGTATTGGATTGTTCTGCTCAATGTGTGGATGCTATTAATAATTTTAATTACTAGAGTCTTTTCAGAAATGAAAAAAGTGATCACAGTCATGTGGCGCATATTTGCACCTAACAAGGCACATTGTCCGTTTATTCTTCTATTCAAACAGTTTCTCTATAACAATTCTCTTCATAAGCAATTTCAAAAGTAGTCAGAGCGTGCAACCCAATTTAAAAGTGACTACTGGGCACAGAAAATTTTCACTATTGAGCCTTTTACAGTTTAACCATATATGAATTCGAACTGTGTTTACATTTCATATGATTTGACAAATTTTTACTACAACTATGTTTGTTTCTGCATAATGGTGGTAGCAGTTACTATCCACGGCGGATTTTGGCTTCATGTATTCACCCATAAAAGTCTCTGGGATCGATGTTTATTATGGATATACAGTTATCTTTTGTTAGATATTCTCTTGATGATAATATTCTTTATTCAATATGGCACTAGAACATCAATTGCACATTGTTATTCGATCGCTGCATTTTCAAGTTTGTGCAATATAGAAGCCTATGCATCTTATTATCTTCTGTTAATTCAACCTTACCTAATGACAGGTATAAATGTGTGTCATTACATGAGAATTGTGAAAAATATTAATGTCTACATCAAATATCCGAAAGTAATTGTGATCATTTATTTATCATTATTTATTTTCCCTCTGTTATTAATTATATTTCAAGCAACTGTTGGACTGATAAGTTTAGTCAGTCGTACTGTGGCAATATGTGATATCGACTGGATAAATGGCTTAACTGAATCAATAAATCTCTCCTTTTTTTTCTTCGTTCCTGTAGGAACAAATATATTCTTCGTTTGTGTGACCTTAAAACATATTCGAAAATCAAATCGTACAGTCAATGCAACACGAACCGTTTATAAACGAATATTTAAAAAATTTTTTATTGTCTATGCCATATGGCTTGTATTATGGAGTCCATACATCTGCATTAATCAATTTTTCGATGCAACAGACACTGTGAATAATTATGCCGAAATGGTAAGCTTTATTGCAATTTTGGTCGATCCATTTATGTTTGGCGCACTTGATAAGCGATTTATTGAACCCTGGAAACGAGTCTATCGAACATTCAAAAACAGAAGACAAACTCGACCTATCGCTGTCATATATAATTAAGAGACATAAGGTTCTGCTAATTCAAAGATCGAGCAAGATATTGTTTTTGACCTCAAATACACCTCATTCGGCTGAGAATTTTACTTTGAGAGAAGAATATCATAGTTAAAAAACTGTCAGTGAGCGTCTTCCTCGAAAGATGGTAATGCTTCATTTTTTCGAAAATTTTTGACCTTCTAGAAAACACGCAATATCTTAGCTGCTGAAGGTCGACGAACCTTCCCAATGTTATTTTCGGAATCAGTGGGTATGGAAAAGTGTATTTCGATTTTCTGAGTCGCGAGAAATCATTCAAAAAATTCATTTCCAAAAGATACTCAGAAAGGAGCACCCTTACTCAGAAAGGCATCAAGTCGTTTCCGTAAAGCGCTAGCCACTTGAATTTGACGCCATTCGAACCGGCTTAAGACGGAAAACAAAGTTATAGCGCCAAATAAAAGATTTGTTCTTTCCTCTCGAACGACTTTACTTTTACTAGACTGTTCCATTGGTTGCGGGTACGCCGATGGAACTCTTGATCACTTTTCTCTGTGAAACTAAAGAGGATCTCTCATCATTCATACATCATTCGATGCGCCGTGAAAAGCTCCACAACATTTGTTAATAGGAAACTTAGCGAGGCCTGGTAGCGGTGTTTGGGTATTAAATACCGCGCAGCTTTGTTTTGTGTTATTTTGGCAATTAATTCAAGAGATCTTACGTTAAAACTTTCAACAAATACGTTAACATAAACACCGGTATGGGACGGTCCGTAAGTTGAATGCTGATTCACTAAAAATGTCATAAAGAGCTCGGCGACGTCTCATTTTCTTCAGAAATGGTTGCTCTACACAATGGAGTTTTTTGCAATGAATTTTCAGATTAAATTCTAGGACTTGGTTTTCTGAGATTTTGGTTTTTCAAAGACCCTGATTTAGCGAGCTGTAATAGACGCTTTTTATACAGCACAACAAATTCGAAATTCTATCAGCGGTTCAAATCGTTTTTCAAATTTGGTCTAGCTTGTACGGGTCACGCGAAAAATCAAAAATAAAGGTGGCGAACAATTTTTGGCGCCATTCTAGGTTAAAGCTGTTGGTTTTGTTCTCGTTTTTAT